AAGTTCAGCATATGAACCCAATATTGCTTCCTCCAGGATCACCGCAGCGGTATTCCTAGGCCGGGAAAGCCACCAGCACACTGTGACCAGAACAGCTGCCCAGTATTATAAAATCAGTTTAGGCAGTGCTAATCTGCCTCGGTCAATAGGTAGGTGCAAGGTAGATCGGGAAAGTCTAGGGGTCCTTCCAGCCCAAATAAACCGAGATGACACCATCCACATGATGGAAAAAGGATTGCGGGACCTGCACTGACATATGCCGAAAAAAATAGATAAACTTAGGTAGAAATATCATCTTAAAAAGATTGACCCGGCCTATGGTGCTACTAGGGAGGGAAGACCAAGCAGTACATTTAGTCTGCAGCTGTTGCATAAAGGGATGAAGATTGTCCACTAAATAATTCATCAATCCCATTTCACCGTTATACCCAAGTATTTAAATTGAGAGACAGATCTAATAGGGGCAAAGGAAATGTCAGGCAGGGGCCCCAGTGCAAGAGGAAACAGTAATGACTTCTCCCAATTAATGCGAATTCTGGAGTAGTTGCCGAAGCAATCGATGATACTCAGCGCCTCCATAAGAGATGAATTACAATCCCTCAAGTATAAGAGTGTCATCCGCATATAGGGAAACCCTATCCTCCCAGTCGCCCACCGGTAATCCATGCAAGGAAATGGAAGAGTGGATCAGGCAGGTCAACGGCTCAGTCGCCAAGGCAAAGAAGCCTGGCGAAAGTGGACAGGCTTGCCAAGTGCCCCTATGGAGAGCAAAAGGGGGGGAAAGGATGTTAGAAGTACGTACTCTCGCAATCGGCACACTGTATAGGCATCGAATCCAAGAAATGAAATGAGGACCAAACCCGAAACCACGCAGAGTTTCCCATAGATACTCCCACTCCAGCAAATCGAAGGCCTTCTCGGCGTCCATTGACAGCACCACACCAGGGTCATCCCTGTCACGAGCCGCAGAAATATGAGTGAGCAATCTCCGTATGTTAATATCAGTACCTTTTCCCGGCATAAAAACCCATCTGGTCATGGTGCACCACCTCCGAAATAACAGAACCCAGTCTAATAGCAAGCATCTTAGCGAGTACTTTCACATCAGTGCTCAACAGGGAGATCAGCTGATAGGAGGAGCAGTGAGTCGGGTCCTTCCCGGGCTTCAAAATCACCACTATCACCACTTGAAGCATGTCAGAGGGCAGAGTTCCTGTCTCAAGTAATGCATTAAAAAGTGTTTGAAAATGGGGAGCTATTTGCTCAATATATGTTTTATAGGAATCAATTGGAAAGCCATCTGTGCTTTGCCAGATTGGAGAGCGCTAATGACCTGCTGGGTCTCCTCCAATGAAATCGGTATCTCCTGCCGCTCCCTCTAAACCACAGAGAGAGACGGCAGGTCAACACGATCCAAATGGGACAAATCTTATGGCGTGAAAGCGGCTTTGGAGGAATATAAGCTTGCATAATAGTCGGCAAAATGCCGGTTAATTTAGATTGGATCAAGGATCCTAGAACCGTCTTCAGCCTGCATAAGTGCAATATTAGATAAGACAGATTGCTCCCTAGCCAACCAAGCCAGCAGGTGGCAAGCTTTATCTCCTTGTTCAAAAATACGCTGTTTTTGATGCAACATAGCCTTCTTGGAAACCGTTGTGCGTAACAATAAAGCTTCCCTCATAACCAATTGTAAGTCTTGGTGACAAACAGGATCTGGCTGGAGCACATAATTGGATTCAGCTTCCTGCACCCTCTGGTCCTACAAGTCTACTTCTTCCCACCATCTTACCTGCAGCCCCCCTATCAAGGTCCGATACTGGCCCCTAAGAGTAGCCTTACAAGCCTCCCAGGTAGTAGTAGACAGTATTCTTATTAAAGTACCAATAATGCTCCAAGGCTTTCCCTATAGGGGGTTCCACTGCAGGATCAGTGATCCAATACCGAGATAACCTCCAGACTTTTTCCCTGAGGCATCAGTAATACTTAATTTAAGAAGGAGTGGAGCATGATCAGAAATTCCCCATGAAAGGATGGAAATCTCCAAACCCCTCGCCAACAGTGCCGGAGTAACATAACAAAGATCAATTCTGGAGTTTTTAAGCATTTTTTAGTGTTTTTTGCATTAGCGTTTACCCAAATTTAGCTGTGTTTTTCCACGTATGCATTATTTTTTTCCAAAAAGTATTTTATTAGAAGAAAAAAGGGGCATAGCAAGGCAAATACAACTACAGATCGCAGTCCGAGTATAGACACAGTAAACAGCATCCGGTATCAGAGACAGGTCAGAGATGTAGACTACAGTGCAATCAGAGCATAACAATGCAATAGGACAGGTGCATATTACGTATCTGCAAATATATAGAGTATACTAGCTGAATTAATGTAAATAATAATGGGAACTGACCCATGTAATAATGAGCTCTTATGTTGAGGGTGTACAAAGTGTTGGGCAAGGATAGCCTAGAAAAGTGTGTATGTTCTGTGTTGTGTATCCGGATTAAGAAAATGTGTGTTACATAGAAGTATTTGCGTTTGTAAGAAAATAATTGCTATATTCTGTTGGGGCTAAGTAAATGATAAGAGTGTATACAAAAAGAAGAATAAAGATAAGTCTGAAAGAATAGGACAGTTAGAGAAAGGAGTGTGGCACGGTGCAATTGGATGGGGGGGGGGGGGAGAGAAAATTTTTTTTCTTTATAAATTTGGGGAAGGGGGAGGAGGCAAGGGGAGAATAGATAATTGCGGATAAATAGATCATATCCTTATGTAGGAGCCGAGCTGGTAAAGTCTTCATTTAGCTTAGCATATAATATGCATATAGTCAGTCAATAGGGCACAATGTGGGTCAAAAACTCAGACGACACATTATGCTGCAAACTTTCAACCCATCCAATTGTAATTCAAAAACATCCTTGATGAACCTGGCATTCTGTAATACATCATTATGTCTAACCATTCAGTCAGGGGGTCTAGATTGGTCATGTAGTGTTGTGTGGTAGGTAGCGGTGGTTTTGAAGTGACTCCAACAGCCCCATGTCCTCCTAAATCTCTCGGGATGACGTTTGCATTTTTTAAGCATTTTTACACACACAAAAAAAGTTGCTAAAAAAGCCCCAAAAACGCTAGTTTGCCGCGTTTTACCACATTTTTCAGTGTTTAGAGAGTTTTTACAGCTAAAAAACTCCTCTAGAAACCCACTAGTTCTGTTTTTTTTTTTCGAGCCAAAAAACACCCCTGCCAAAAAACACTGATTAAAGCCTATGTGTGCATGAACATGGACATGCTGGGGAGTTTACTGGCTGTAGAAAACAATGACATAAGTCAAAAACAGCCAAAAACATCCAGTGTGCATGAGGACTAAGCCCCCGTTCACATCAAGCGTGACTTTGAAATCGTGCGACTTACAGTGAAGTCGCATGATTTCAAAGTCGCCGATTTCAGGTGTGATTCGCAAAACATCTGTCTATGCAAATTACACCAAAAGTGAATGTACTACTTTTGAAATTGGTGGGGCTCCGAACCGCACTGATATGACCGCTCCATTTGCGGACAATAGGGTGCGACTTGGCATGTGATTTGCATTCCAAGTCGCACCGATGTGAATGGGGGGGGGTAAGTCCTAAAAACGCTCTACCGCTGAAAAATGCGGTAAACCGTGGTAAGTCACGGCAAAAAGCGTGGCAAAAACGCTGCTATACGCCAATGCAGAAACGCTAAAAAAATACTGAGAAACTTACGTTTTTAACGTGACTTTAAACAGCTAACGTTACCAGCATTATTAAAACACCCCGTGTGCATGGAGCCTAAATGAAAACCCACAATTGTATTTGTCCAAGTGTGTAAGACTGCATCAACTATCTGTTTGATTACAATGGATACTAATACCAGATCTGAAAAAATAGACACATAGAATGCACTTTTTATTCTGAATGCAGCTGTATGACAAAGAGCATTTCCTGTGTCACTGTGAGAATATGGAGTCCAGCAGACATTCCCTTTACTATTACTGGGGTATGATAAAACACAATTTAAATCATGCTGAATGAAATTATGCAATTTTCACCTATCTTAACTGCTTCCCCGTCGCCCTATAGTAGAAATACTGCTACAGGGCGGCAGGGCTGCGCAGAATCACCTTATATGTAGGCGATTTGCATTTCCTGGTAAGGAGCATGCACGCGTGTGTCCTGCCCTAACCGTGCCGCCACTGGCGGCTAGGCATGTCAATCACTGGGTCCCGGCCCGGAGATTCCCCGCCAGCACCCGGCAATCGCCGTGCAGGAGAATGGGTTGTGTACTGCCCACTGAGCACAACAGAGGGGGTAATTCTTGCCATGTCATATGTGCCCCCTGTCCGCCTCCTTTGCAACTTAAAGTGGTTGTAAACTCTTCCATATACTCAGGGAAGTGACTAGCCTCAGGTAGTACACACAGATGGAACAAATCCTCCTATAAAAGTTATACCAGTCTATCTTCAGTCTTTTCTTCTCTACATTCATTCAAAGTACAGAATTTATAAAGCTTCTCTGAGAGTTCAGAAAAAAAAGGAGTGGAGAGCTGAAATTACATTTTGCAAAGCCAGACCTCAGTGAAGAGAGCTCTGAGAGCTGATTGGAGGGAAGAGACACTCCCCCCCCCCACCTCCATACTGCACACAGGAACAGAGCTGAGGCTGTCAATCTGCTGGAGGTCCCTCCCCTGTCACCGTTTTTCTCTTGGTGTCAGGAAAACTGAAGTGACTGATAAGGATAGCAGAGGAACGAAGTAGCAGACAGAAATGACACTTAAAGTGTTACTGAACCCAGGTCCCTACATTCACTATATCTGGTCTCTCACAATACACAGAACATGAAAATGCAATTATTTTTGTAAATATATATTGCTAAATACCTTTTCTTATCAACAGTATATAGCAGTCTTGTGACTTCTATCCGTGTCCAGCCAATACTGGTTAATCTTGTAGGAGGAGTTTTCATTATGCTCTGACTGTCCTATGAGGCTGCATAACCTCTGACCCTCTGTCTGGGCAGTGCTGATTGGCCCTGTGCTGATCACATGCACCCTCACAAAGAAAGAAAAAAATTCTCTAGCAATACAGAATAAACTGAGCATGTCCAGAGTGACTCCTAGAGCTCTGTACTATTAGCAGATGAATTGGGGACAGTTGAAGAAGGGGAGGATCAGAGAAGACAGGATCAAATAGCCTTTTTACACAATTAACCCCCTAGGTTCCACAGTATAACAAACATGCATTACTGCATATGCAGACTGATTTTACTGTTGTGGGTTTACTTACACTTTAATTGAGACAAGTACACACTATAGAGGAATATGCTTTGCAAAAATGTGGCTCAGCTGTGTGCAGCTATGCCATTAATTCTGCGTTCTTCCAGCCATGCACAAAAATATGCTGTTTTTATACAGATGTACAGTGGTGCCAGTAATCCTTAATGGCACCCCTACTGATTGTGCATTTCTTATGCATAGGGCAACCCAATGAAATGAATGGGCTGCCCAAAATGCAATGCGCTGCAATGCATGGAAATGTGCAGGTAATCATGAACGCTAGGTTGCATCCTCAATCTTCAGCTTTGCTCCATCTTCCCATCAAAATATTCCATCAGCACATGTGTATGCAACAGAGCCTGATTGGCTCCTAGGATTGCCCCTCCCTGTCTGATTGCTGTTACAGATGCTGATATGAAGACATAATCAGGTACTTATGCTAGTTGTATGTAGGGTTGCCACCTCATCTCTATAAAACACATATCAATTACACACGTTTTTTGGCTGAGTAAGGCGGTAATATACCCCTTGGCGCCAAGCGTACGCAAATTAGTGGCCCCACTGGACTGGGCTTTTTTCCATGGGGCCACTAATTTGTGTACCTGTCTTTGTGCTTGGAGGTGCGCTCCCAGCACAGGGACCAAGGTGTAAGTGAGAGCCCCGAGTCTCGTTCTATGATCGGAACTCCTGATTCTGGGTCCTGGAACTCCCGATTCCTGGTCACATGATCGCTGTGAAAGCCTCTGATTGGATATCACAGTGATCAGTCACTGTGAAGCCCGCCTCCCTTGTTTTCTCTCTCTGAATGGAGGAGAGAGATACATTATATCTCTCCGTCCTTTCAGAGAGAAAAAAAAGTATTTGCAAAATAAATAAGTAAATAAAAATAATAATAAATAAAATTAAAAATTGTAAATAAATAAAAATAGCTAGATCACGGTTTGATCTAGGTCAGTGCCAGGGTTAGTGTTTGGGTCAAAGGTCAAGGTCAGGATCAAAGGTCGGGGTTAGTATTTTTTTTTTGTAAGGGTTTTTTTTTTTAATTTTTAAATTAGTATCAGTGTCAGGATAAAAAAAGCAAAATACACACTATTGTTTCTGGGCTGTACTACGGGTACAAACAACTAACATACACATATATGGTATTGCTGTGATTGTCAGGAGCAGGAGAAATTATTTTTGGTTGTTCTTTGGTGGTTAGTTATGGCAGTAGCAAGAAATACACAACTAAATTTAAAAAGATTTTGTTTTTTTTACTATTTTGGGTCAGTTTTCCTTTCATAATAAAAAAAAATCAGGAGATATCTGTTACCAGTTACCTCCAAATAAAAGCCCAATTTGTCCTGAAAAAAACAAGGTATTATCCACCTGGATGCACAAAGTAGATGTGATGATATGTATGGTTTTGCTAACAGGTTAAAGTTGCAAAATTGTGCTTAGGCATTAAGATTTGTTTTACCCTTAGGTGTGAAGGGGTTAAACTCAGTTCATTATCTGCATTAAAATAGCAGAATTACCAGTGTAATTAATATTATATGCCTTCCTCTGGATCAACTGTGTGTGTAGGATTAGAACTTTTTTTTTTTGTTTATGGTTGAACTAGACGGACTTTTGTCTTTTTTTCAGCAAGACTATGTAATAAGCAGGGGTGGACTGACCATTTGGAAACTCAGGCACTGCCCAAGGGCCCGGGGTCAGTAGGGGGCCCCATGAGATGCCCCTGGTACCTTTTTCATAGGCTTTTTTGAGTTTGGGCAAGGACACAGGGGCCCCATGATCCCCTATTGCCCGGGGCCCCATGAGTTGTCAGTCCGCCCCTGGTAATATATGTTCAGTTTTAGGCTTTATGTACAAGGGACGTTTGAAAAACACGATGAAGACTGACTGCTGGAAAACGTAGGTTAAAAAACGTCTGTTTAGCCACGTTTGCATACCGCGTTTATGAGCGTTTGCGCTTAGGCTACATTCACACTAGTGTTGTGTGGAGGCGGCAGAGAGGCGCTTGGGAAGTGTTTTTACCGCTTCCCAAACGCCTCGGACAATTCTGCACATTGCAGCACGTGGTGCTGTTCTAACGGGAGCGTTAGCGTCACGACAAAACGGACGCCTCTGGTCGAGTCAGGAGGCGTTGAAGCCTCCTATTCTAGTCCACGGTGCCGCTCCACAAACGCTCGGGCGGTTGCGACGCGTTTGCGGAGCGGTAACACCATTTAACCTCCCTAGCGGTATGATTATTTCAGATTTTTGGTGCTGAAAGCGGTACCATTATTTTGCATGGAAATATGTAGTTTTTTTTATTGTAGGCTGTAATATTTAGGAATAACTCACTGAAATCTGTCCGAACAAGAGTCTATTAAACATCCCGGGTAGGATAAAATTTGAAACACAAAATCATAAATTATAATTTAATAAATAATCATAAAAAATAAATAATATAATAATAATACATTTAATTCAATAATATAATCAAACCGAAAACACTGAAATTTGAAATAGAGCACCAAGTTCGCACATCGCTGAGCAAAGTCGCAAAATCGTTTTCAGTGTCTGATGACGAATTTCTCCACGAATCATTATCACTCAATTCTGCAAGTGGTTCTGATTTACTATCGCTGTTCTCTAGCTGATTTAAACCCGCTTTTGACGTAAAGGGACACTTTTTGGACGCCATGGACTTTTCTAAGTTTCCAGGCAGAAAGGACAAAATGCAGACGGGACAGGACAGAGCACTAAGGACAAAATGTATGTGAAATGGGTTGAAACAGCAATGTATTACTATGTAAAATCGTTTTGAAAAAAATTACATTTTTTAAAAATTTCCAATTTTTCTGCCGCCAGCGGCGCCCGTACGTCCCGACGTCACAGGGATCGGAACACAGGAGCCGGCATCAGCCGGAGATGGCCGGGGATGCTGCAGGGGACACATCGCGGGAGCCAAGGACAAGGTAAGTGCTGCAGGGACTCCCTATGCAGCGCCGCATGGTAAGCCCCAGTGTAGCTCGGGGTTACCACTTTTGGTACTGACATTTTACCCCCGAGCTACACTCGGGAATACCGCCAGGGAGGTTAAACTTCATTATAGGCGTTTGTGGGGTATTTTAATGCCTATAATGAAGTTTAAATGGTGTTTACCATTATATGCGTTAAAAAAAACACTCCGCAAACGCCGGACCAACGCTTGCCAAACGCTATAGGGGCATTTGGCAAGCGTTGGTAAAACAGTCAAGTGTGAACGAGCCCTTAGAAGCATTTTTTAAAGATAACCTCAGGAGACCTTCCAAAATGCCCAGAATGCACTGAAAAATAGTAAAAAATTAACTATTTCAGACATTTTGAGAGAAATAGAGAGAGTAGAAGCAGAGAGAGCCGTATGTGTTGAGATTAGCTGTCTTTTTTCGTTTTTGTGGTGTTTGGATGTGTTCCAGCTCATTTCTGTGCAGAAATTATTGCAGCAGTGTCTAACATATTTTCTTTCATGCGAAACCTCAAAGTATGATGTACTAGGTCCATTTGAGTACCGGGAAAACGCTTTGCATGCATTTTTCATGATGAAAAAAGGCTGTGGACAGCATCTGGAAATGGAAGCATTCAAAAAATGTTCCAAACGCAAACGCTTTAACAACCACATTTACAAGCGTTTGAAACGCTGATAAAATCTACTCCTGAAGGCAAGTTTGGTGCGTTCAAAAAAATGACTGTAAACTCAACTGCCTGTAAACGACATAGTGTACAAGGACACATAGGAAAACATTAGGGAGAGTTCAGGGGCTCCTGAAAAAAACGCAGAAAAGCTCCTGAACGTGAGTCTATCAGCTGCAGTGTACTTGGGGCCTTAAAGGGATGACGTGGCAATCCTAGCTGCACGTGAAAATAAAAATTCTCCTTTTCTATATCTAGGTGATAACATCAAACTCTAACCGTAAGCCCTTTTCTGTGTTTTCCATCATTAAACTAAAATACAGATAGAATGTCCTGGATAGAACTACATATGTCGCAGCCGCAATGAGGAAGAGAACTAGCACACTATTTAAAACGACCAAACTTTATTCCTGTTATGACAAATGCTACAGAGCAAAACCTATAAGTCACGTGGTAGCGAACCTCCTCTGCTATAGGCGGGGGCTTCTCATTACCAAGGAGGCAGTTTCTGATCCGCCCAATCGTCAGCAATCTTTGTGAAGCGTCCGGTCCTTGCCTCCTTGTTACTACGGTAACGGCACAATCCATCGAACGCTGGAAAAATAGGGGTGGGGATGTCGACTCAGGATTGTAGAAGAGCTAAGAATAAAAAGCGGTCAGTGCACAGGTGTCTACAGAACACAAAAGCAGGTTCCTCAGGTTCTATTCCCGGCCAGGTGGGGTGAAGACGTCCCTCTCGGACAGACTGTAGTCCGGTGTCTCGGCAGTTGGTCTGGGAGCCTTTGGAAGCATGGACTAGTCCGCTAGTTGTATGGGACTTGTGACATTACCTGGAAGGAGGTCGTGAGGCAGCTGAGGTGAGTCTTCCTTCCTTCCTCTGAGTCTTCCTGCTCCCTGTACTGTCGGGATGGTGGGCTGTACTCTGCAGCCATTCTCTGCTCTCACATGTCCTGCTTGTTCTGAGGTCTGGCCAGGTATTTCAAGGTCTGCAGGAAGTTTCAAAATTAGGTGAAAAAGAGTAAAAAATACTCCCCTCCCAAAAAAACAAACCATCAAACAAAAAACACGTTTCAGAAGGTTGCAATAGGAAAATGGAGAAGATGGGTTCCTGTATATGTCGCTGACCATTTGGAAACT